GGATTCACCAAGGACAGAGTGGGGAGCAGAACAGGCAGATCTACTGAATCCACTGCTGAGGGGAGCAGCGTGGAGACAGGAGAGGTCTGCTGTGCCCTGTGGGTCCCTCCCTGGCCGGGGATCGAACTCCTGCTGCAGTGACAGCAGATAGCTTCATAGTGCTGTGCTTTAAAACCCCTCGAGTCATGAGGGAGACCCTATGACTAGACTTTTACTAGCTGTTTCCTAGATATAGTTATGTCTATTGTCGACTCTCTTGGATATAGAGTTTTAACTTGTATAAACTCACTGCACCAACACCAAGTTAGAGTACAGCATAGTGTTTTTATTCCAGAAAATCCCCTCCTGCTACCTGGGTGATGAACCCTTTTCCACCCTAATCTCTCAGGCACTACTTTATTCTTGTCCCTGAGATTCTTCGTTCCGGTGTTCACTCTCCAGAGGCTGGTGTCCTGCATTCAGCACTGTGCCTTTGTGTTTAAGCCATGTGGTCAGTTGCATGCTCACCACTTCTTATGACTATTCATTTTTTTATATACATACACATATATATTTGCATCCACATCATTGATCACTTTGTACAGTGTGTGCCTTCTCTCGGATGGAGCCCCTGTAACAATCCCACCACCCACTCACCCGTCACCTATCATCATAGTTCCTTGTGCTCTCCCTCCCCTGTTTTGATCCCTCTCCCTCCCCTGCAGAATGTCTCTGATTTATAGCTGCCTGCTAATTTTGTTTATTTATTGTTGTTGTTTTTTCCCGATGCCTTATTTGGCTCCCCTGTATTCCTCCTATAAGTGAAACCTTCTGATATTTTTCTTTTTCCTTCTGGCTTATTTCACTGAGCGTCCTTCCTTCCAGCTCTGTCCATGTTGCTACAAATGGCATGAGTTTATCTTTTTGACTGCTGAATAGTATTCCATCGTGTATATAGACCAGATCTTCTTGATGCAGTCTTCTTATTTTTTGAGCCTTGGGGTCGCTTCCATAGCATGCCTATGGCAAATAGTGCTGCAGTACACATAGGGATGCACCCCTTTTTATTGCTGAGTCGTACTCCCTTGTGTGGATGTACCACAGGGTGCACCTCCATTTATCCTTTGAAGGACACTGAGGTTGTCTCCAGTTTGAGGCAGCTATAAATAAAGTTTCTATAAAGCTTGTGTACATGTTTTCGGGTAAACATAGTTTTTATTTCTTCAGCTAAGTTTCTAGGAATGGAATGGCAACGTCATACATTAAGTGTGTGTGTGTGTGTAACTTTAGGAGAAACTGCCAGACTATTTACCAGAAGGGTAACATTTTGCATGCCCACCAGCAATGTATACACGTTATTTTTAAACAAAAACTTTAAAATTTATTTTTAAATACCTGAATGCTATTTTAAGTGTACTTGGGTTGAAGTCGCAAATTGAGCAAGTGTTGCAGCGCTGTGGGGCTTCGAGGAGATGCCTGAGGCAAAGGGAGGCTCCAGCTCCTCCATCCAAGTAGCAAGGAGACTGTGTACCTTAGTAGTGTGTGTATGTTTCCCTCATAAGAAGACGCCAGGGAGGAAAGACGTCTACCTGAGAAGAATACCATGGCATCTGGGCTGTGCATGGGGAGCTGGGCCACTATGGTCTCGGGGCGACGCTTGAGGGTGCTGTGCACCCGGTGAGCACTGTCCCGAGAAAGGGGTACCCTCTTCAGCTCCCTTTTCAGTCCATGCGTGATGATGTTAAGGAGGTTACGACCAAACTAAAAGTGGGTCAGCTTAAAGAAAAATAGTAAAGATGATGTATCCTCTATGCACATCTGGCAAGGACCGTGTGCTAGAAAGCCTGAGTCTAGCGATTCAGAGACCTGCTGGCGAATCCTCTGAAGTGAGGCCTCCCTGGTGAAGCACACAGCTCCTGTCGTTTATTTTATGAGATTATAAGTTTACATAACGGTGTCTAACTGAGGTGTCCCGCTAATTTTCAATTTATGTTTATATATGTGACTGCTGTTTTAAATGCTCTGGGGTGAGCTGGGCAAACTAAATAAGTGTGATTTGGCATCCCACGGGCGGATGGCCCAGTGCCGTGGGCCACATCAACATGGGTGACAAAGATCAGGTTCCTCCCTGTCCTTTTCTTGGTTAGTGCTCGTCTTTTTATCTCACATTCTTCACTGTGGAGATACAATGTCCTATCTGTTGTGTTTACATTCGAGTTTTTCCTCGCAAGCCACGGAAGCCCATCCTGGTAAGTTTGAACCAAGTCAGGCTTCATTGCAAGGATCTTAGGTAACCTAAAGTATCAAAGGAAAGAGAATGACATGGACTCAGAAAGCTCAGTAAACTCTCAGAAATACTCTGAGGACCTGAGTGAGAACGAAGGACGTTGACAGGTGGCTCCAGTTTTTTTCTTTCTTTGTTATTCTTCTTCAGAGACTGAGGTTTTGAAAGACAGAACCAAGTTGACCTGACCTGCCTCTTTGATGGATGGAGCGGGATAACTTTGGTTGACAGTTCCTCTATGAGGACAGATAATAAAAGACTTCCCCAAGGAGGGGTCTGGGTGCTGTTTATAGAGAAAGGGGCACTGGCAAAGCTTGGAAGGCAACCAGAACCACATCATCACTCTAACTCTTCTCAAGATGGTTAAGAAGATACCAGGTGCACATTGTCAAATGCCCTAGAGGATTTCAAGATACGCGACAACCGTGTGGTGAGCGTGTTGAGTAAATGAATGTGTGATGTCTCTTAGATAAGGAATACACTGAGTGAGGAGGACATGGAGAGTGACTATCCCGTTTCTTTCTATTTTAAATAAAATGTGGAGGATAAACCATCACATGGAATTCCAGGGGTACAGCTTCACCCCGACTTGTGCACATCCCTCGTCACCACCGGAGCCTCAATGCCACCATCGCCTTTCTCCTCTGCCCCTTCCTCCCTTCTCCCCGCCCCGCCCCCGCCCCTCTGGGAACCAGCGTATTTTCCACAGTCTCGGCGTTATTATTGTTGTGTCCCGCCAGTGTGTTTTCACTGGGTATTTCTACTCCACAAGTGAAGGAGACCCGACAGTTCCCGGCTCCCACTTTCTGCCTGACTTCACTTAGCAAAATTATCTCAAGTTCCCTTTATATTGGTGCAAAGGAACAATTTCATCTTATTTTGAATAGCTGAGTAGTATTCCATCGAGTGTCTATCCCGGCGTTTATTCCCCTCGAGTATATCTCCCCCAGTTTCTCCATCTGCTCTTCCGCCAGTGGACATTTAGCTTTGCTTCCACGTCTCGCTGGTTGGAAGAACGCTGCTGCCCACACAGGGGCGCGGAAGCTTTTCAGTTTGTGCTTTCATGTTCTTCAGATAAATGCTCAGAAGAATAATTTCATGTGTTCCAGTGAGGGCCTGGGGGATTTTCTCGCACAGGGTGGTGGTGGTGGTGCGTCCCCTTGGGGTGTCCTCCTGACGTCCTCCCCAGCGCCCTGCATCTGGCCAGTCCTCTTGTCTCCGTCTTCTCCCTTCTTCCCCAATGCAGTGGCCACTTATGCTTGGACTCCTTGTGCTTCCCTGACGGTGCTGGCAGCCCCCCGCCTGCCCACATGGTGCTCGTGTCTGCAGGCTGACAACTGGGGGGGGGGTCTTGCGCTGCAGCTGTTGGGTGGACAGTGGGCACCGTAGACCTGTTGCTGGACTTCTTGATGTGCTGCTGTGTGACCACCATGAGTGCCCCTCGTGACTGGGAAGCCACAGTGGGGTGGGAGGTTGTGCATCCACAAGGGTTGGGGCCCCCCAATTCCATCGCCCAGGTTGCACTGGGCCAGGTGCGCGCCCCTCCCCCCCCCGTACAGTCCCCCTGGTCTCCACAGCAGCTCACAGCCCTTTTCCCCAGTCGGAAGCATGTCTGTGCGTCAGTCCCAACTTCATTGCTACTAGCAGTGGCTTTGGTGATGAAGTCTTCAAAGAAACCTCACGCACACTAAATGAGAAACATGTATGAATTCCAAAGGTTTCTGGGCCAGTTACACAAAGATAAGTCCATGTGATGGAAAGTTCTCTGATGAAAACTCAGAAGGTGTTTATTTGCTAACCCGATTTTCAAGGACCCGTGGAATACCTTCCCTGTTTTTCTGAATTATTGTTCGTGTTTAGAATACACGCGTGTAGAAAGAGCACTCAATGGCGAGTCGGAGATAAAGTCGTCCCAAGCTGAGACTTGAGGTCGTGCGGCTTTGGGGCATGAGCAGGTGTGAACGCTGTGCTACCTACAGCCCCTTCCGAGGGCTGGAGAGAGGCTGTCGGGGCTCCGTGCTCACCCCCGAACCTCATTTCTCTTAAGTGCCATTGTCTCAGCCATGCAATAGGTCATTCTCCCTCAGATCGCTAGTGTACTGTCTCTAAGAGCCTCTGAAACTTATTTGAATTGTATAGTGGATTTTTTAAGCTGGGAAGATTTTCCTTGAGATCAAACGCTCCATTTTGATGTTTGTGCTCTCTGCCTTTCTGTCTGAGCGAGCTCTTGATTTGCAACAAGCAAGGAAAACGAACCTAGAGAAAAGAGAAAAAGAAAAGCTGCTGGCGTGGCTTGAAATAGAAATTAATGATTCAAATAAGGGAAGCCGTGCTGGGTGGCAGGAAGTGGGGAGAGTCAGAGACTGTGCTTTTTAAAAAGGAAAAACAAACAACTCCCAGTAAAGTGGACGTGAAAATCATTTCTAATAATAGCTCGTGGTAGGCAATTCCTAGGAAAAAAATCATTGGTGTGCTGAGAAAATGAGAGCGAGAATGTCCAGCATCTTGATGTGTTACTTAAGGCAATGGGGCCTCGGTGCTTACCTTCTGTGCCGTGTACATTGATTAAATACAAAATATATGCTGGCCATTTTTGACCATCATTTACTGTATTGATTTGTTAGCAGTGGAACTGTAATAAAAAAGCCATTGATTTACTGTCCTTATTTGCTTATGGGCTTTTTTTATTATTAATTTTCCCCCTTTTCTTTCTCTTTTCTTGGATCATTTCTTCTAGACAAATGCCGTGCTGCAGGAAGTTCGACGAGAGGGCCTCCCAGCAGGGCAGAGGAGGGACATGGTGTCTGTCATCCTCGCCTCGCTCACCACACGCCAGAACCTGAGGACAGAGTGGCGAGCCAGGTCAGTCGTGTTAGGCAGCCCTGGGCTAAGAGGCCCTTGCGGGCGGATGGCCTCATCCCACTGCCTCGACGGGCCATGAAACATAAGCCAGCCACAGATACTGCCAGCCCAAGGGTGTCCACATAAATTGTAATTATTCGCGCGGTAGCTTCATGTAGGTGGTAGATCCGCAATACAGCATTTGGCATAAATGCCTGCATCTTGCATAGAATATGCTGTAAATTCGCTGTAAGTTCCTGGTGCTCAGAACTCCCTTTATCAACCGTCGGAAAGACGACTGCTGTCATTTCGTTAGGTCTCAGGACCCCACATACTGCTCTCTGCTCACTCCATGAGAGCTGAGTGCTTGGAAGTGGTCTTCTTCCACACCCCGTGTTTAGAATTGACCAAGGAGGACTTCCTTTGGCTTCCACTACTCCCCTCACACACAGACTTCCCAGGGGCTAGAGCATCTACACATCTCTGCTTCCCCAAACTTGATGGCTGTCCACTGGCCAGAGTGTGATCCTGCCCTTACTTGAAAGAATGTTCGGTGGGTGAAGGTCTGGAAGTCATTCAAATGCTCAAACGTTAGGGTTCTCCTCTAGGCTGGGAGTTGGTCAAAATGGCTGAATGATCACCTGTCTCTAAGCAAGTGGGAGCGGCATCAAGTATGTTATGCTGTGTTTTGGCTCAGTGTTAGTGGGTGCTAAACACTCTCTGTGCCTGGAAGTCAAGAGCAGTTATTGATAGCTGTGATATTCTCCAAGTGAATCTACAATAATGGATGGCTTTATTAGTAACTGGGACCCTGAAAGTAGATTTGTCATACGAAGCTGAAGGTGAGCATGGCCCAAGAAAGATGGGGCAGTTGAGAGCTCGGAGCCTCCCTGCTGAGAGGCCTAGGAAAGCAGCTTTCCCAGGGTTGGGTATTATCCCTAAATTCGGACTGCCATTGCAACAATCATTTTTAAACGTCTTGTGGTAATTCTCTCCCTCTGCACTGTTGAAGTAGTATGGCCAGAGTCAGGACACTCTCCACTATGGGAGTGAAATGATTTCATTTCAGTCTCAATAATTAATTTAGCAAGTTTCCTTTGGCTTACATTTTAAGTATGTATATTCATTAAAGTGTGCATATTTTATCCGATCATGCAGTATCCACATGGGGGCACCGAGAGATTTCTCACTCTCTCTGTTTGACCTTTTATAGCTCCGTGATTCTTATTAAATGAGAGGAGAAAGAATTCCCCGGGGTTCTGTTTCGTACCCCCTCACCCCTGCCAAGACAGCAGGGCTCAGGAAGCCGGGGTTGAGGGCAGGTGTCTGCCACTGAGTGCCTGTGGGGTGTTCGCGGTCACTCCCAATACACCAGTCACCGCCGACATGGCCAGAACGGCCTGTTTCAAAGGAGTCTGGGTTGGGCCGTTCTGGCCCTTGCCGCTAACCGTTTAATCAGGAGCTGGAGCCAGTGTTGAAGTTGATGTAGTCTAGCATCTGAAACAAAACTTCGCTAGCCCTTTGTGGCAGGGGAGGAGAGAAGAAAGACCTTAGCAGCTGACACTGTGCAGATCCCCTTCAAACTAAACACCTGAAGGAAAGTTTCGCGAGGGTGGTGTCTGGCAAGCTCGGCGTCCTCCGAGTGTTAAGTCACGGTCCTCCTTCCTCCGTCCCTCCACCCCACTGGCGGTCCCCACTCTGGTGTCCTGCCGAAAAGCTCATTCACAGGATCCGGATAAACAGCCTGTCACCATGCACCTTCCTCTTCCTCGTCAAAGCTTCCTCCGGCGGGTGGGTGGGGCACTGTCTCGAGTGGCCATCAGGAGCCCGTTGGAGAAGCCAGATAGCAGCCCCCAGCTCCTGCTCCTGGACAGGGGCCTGCTGTGCGTGCGCGAGGAGAAATGTGCTGTGACAGAAAATAATTAGCACTTGCCAGAGGCCAAGCACTAGGTTCTAGTGTTTTACTTCCATCAAAGCCATCGGGGCAGCAGTTAGATTAGATAATAGAAATTTTTTCCCCCGAAAGTTAAATACAGACGACTCTAATTACCTTCGGCTGCTCGTTAGAGGAGGGGTTATGAATCAGCGCACCTTCTAGAAAGGGAGGCTCACCGGGGCTCCGCAGCTGGTGACTGCAGCCTGAGTGTGTTGTCATAAGGGGTCCCCCCCCCCAACCCCTCCAGGAGGCTGGTTTGCGGTGAGACCCAGGAGACTACCAGGGAGATGTGAGGGAGAATGTTCCAGCAAGGCTTGTAAGTTGGTTTTAAAATATCTGCCGTCTCTCAGCCCAGGAGCTGAGCCATTGTTTGGGGGGGAGGGGGGCTCACCAAAGTCTCCTAAACCAAAAGCATATGTTCCTGTAACTTTGCGTTTGGAGGGACGTGTCAACTCTGTGCGGCTTGGGTAACCGAGTTTGTCACAGTATCACACAACTCCGCGAGGCAGAGGCCCATCCGAGGGCTGCGGGCTTCCTTCCCCAAGCCCGGTAATCCCATAAACAGCCCTCTCCAAATAGGCTTATTAGGGCTGTCTATTCACTCCCCAGAGCTGAATGATCCACAGTACACCAGGAGGAGCTGTGTGAATGCGGGCTAAGTGTTAACAGAAGTGGTACAGAATTTCTGGAGATTTGGCTTTGTTTATACAGTCGCTCTGCCTGATGGACAGCTTGTTATAGCTTTTAAAGAACTGGGCAAGCCCTCCGCTCTGACCCCTTCTTGACCTCTGCTGCCCAGGGGTCAGTCTGCAGCTAATAAACTCCCAGGTTCTTAGGGTTTACTGTAGGAAAAGGCAGAAAAAGAGCAGCTGCAAAGATGGGTGTCCCAGGATACGCCACTTTACGGTCACTCTCTGATAATGAAAATGATTACCAAATTATATGGAAGTTTAACTGCAATAGTGAGCGAGAGGAGGGTGGAGCCCAGCGTATTAGGTTTGATAAATGAACTGTGAAGAGGCCCATCTGGCTCTCAACATCTTTTCTCCCCCTCTTTCCCTACCAAGGGGAAACATTTTAAAATAACAGCAGTACATATAGGCTCAATGACCCATGCAAGGAGCTGGAATGGATTAAGATTTAATGGTGACAGTGGAAAAAAATTATCATTTCAAAAGTGCACCAAAGAAAAGGTACAGTCCAGAGTCCAGGCCCGAGTTGTTTTTCTAAATAAATATAGTAAAAATCAGTGCCTTTGTGTATTTTACATAAATCCCCAGCGTCTCTTCTAGATGGCTGAAAAATCTGAGGGTGTGTTTATTATGGAATAATTATTTGTAGTCAGTGTGAAGAAAAGAATGGGCTTCCTTTGCCTTGAACACATCAGGCTGAAAATTAAATATTTTATTTCTGCCGGCTTCTCAGCTGAGAATGTAGGGAAATCGAGTGTTGAAAAGATGCTTTTCAAAGAAGTCGTGAGCCGTTTCAGCATCTGGCTGGTAACTGCTGGGCAGTTTTTGGGGACTGTTCATGTGCTTCTTACACACTGTTATTCATTCTTGCTCCAATTTGGTGGTTTCTCCGTAAATATGAGAAGACAGCACATAGAACGCTAATTGAGAGTCTGTGTCTGTTCCTCCATCTCTTTGTCAGGGAAGCGTCACAGCGATGCTAATTATTGCCAGCAATGGGTAGGTCACGAGCTGTGTGTCCACTCACTGTTAATGGGTAAAAGTAATCTCTTTAATTTCCCAATTTCCCGGGGACAGGGAGAATCAGCTTTTCGAGCAGTGACGTTGGAGTTTCAAAGCTCTGAAGTCAGGGCCTCCTGTGACCCTGCTTTGTGAAATAGGATCCATGTTAGCCATCATACACTTTCTGTTTTTGTCTACCTACTGTATGAAAAGTCTGTGTGCTGTGCGGAGCATAAGGTAGAAGGTGCCCGGAATCGAGTTTAGAAATGATCCACGCATGAGAATTTAGCAAGCTCCCCGTGGGGGCAATGAGGAGCCTGATGGAGAACCCTGTTCCCACAGCAGAGCAGCAAACTGCGCTCTGGACTCAGAGGAGAGTGTTTAACTGTAGATGTCTGAAGACTAGAACTGCTACGATATTGAAAACCCTTATATTGACTTATATTGTCTAAGCAGCACAACCCTCACCCAAACAACAGTTCTATTTGAAAAGGAAATAAAAGGTTTCTAAACAGTACCCACGTTAGCATATTTTTCATCTGTGGTTTGGTTTGACTGTGAATGTCCACGGGGATTTGCAGTGGGCAGAGAGCTGGGTGAAGGATGATGCAGGGAGCCAAGGGACACTCGCCGTGAGATCAACTGTGCTTTTTAACTTTCAAGCATTGCCTCTAAAACTTGTGCTAAGTATGGTGCGAATAGAAAAATGAAGGCAAAAGTCAGGCTGTTAAGATTTTTAAAAATTGAGATATAATGCACACCGCATGACATGACGTGAATCACTTAAAAATGTGCCGTTGAGGGATTTTTTTAAAGCATATTCACAAGATTGCGCAGCCATCAGCACTGTTTCTAGAGCATTTTCATCCCCCCAGATGTTAACGGCTATTTTCACTTATGCCTTTTCCCCATGTCCGTACTTACTTTTTTTCTGTATAGATTTGTCTATGTTGAACAGTTTCTGGAAATGGAGTCATACAACAGATGACCTTCTTTGTATTTAGGGAAATGTTTTCAAGGTTGAGCTGTGTTATAGCATAAAAGCACTTCACTCCTTTTCACAACCAAATATTATTCCACTGTGTGGACATACCACGTTTTGTTTATCTGATTATCGTTTGATGACCATTTGGGTTGTTTGGCCTTTTGATAGTAGGAAAATGCTGCATGTACAAGTTTCCGAGTAGTGAATCTTCCACTTCTTTGCATTATTTATCAAAGAATGCAATACCTGGGTCGTGTTTAACTTGCTGAGGAACACCAGCCTTTTCAACATCTGCTGTACTATTTTTTATTTCTACACAAAGCTTCCAGTTTTTCCATAATCTTGCCAAAATTTGTTATGTGTTCCCCCTCTTTTTTTTTTTAATTATAAACATCCCACTAACATG